GTAACTGCATGGGCAGCTCCATACTGGTGTCTATAAATGGAACCAGCTCCATACTGGTGTCTATAACTGGAACCAGCTCCATACTGGTGTCTATAACTGGAACAGGCAGTAACTGCATGGGCAGCTCCCTACTGGTGTCTATAACTTTAACAGGCAGTAACTGCATGGGCAGCTCCATACTGGTGTCTATAAATGGAACCAGCTCCATACTGGTGTCTATAAATGGAACCAGCTCCATACTGGTGTCTATAAATGGAACCAGCTCCGTACTGGTGTCTATAAATGGAACCAGCTCCATACTGGTGTCTATAAATGGAACCAGCTCCGTACTGGTGTCTATAAATGGAACCAGCTCCATACTGGTGTCTATAAATGGAACCAGCTCCATACTGGTGTCTATAACTGGAACCAGCTCCATACTGGTGTCTATAACTGGAACAGGCAGTAACTGCATGGGCAGCTCCATACTGGTGTCTATAACTTGAACAGGCGGTAACTGCATGGGCAGCTCCATACTGTTGTCTATAAATGGAACCAGCTCCATACTGGTGTTTATAACTGGAACAGACGGTAACTGCATGGGCAGCTCCATACTGGTGTCTATAAATGGAACCAGCTCCATACTGGTGTCTATAACTGGAACAGACGGTAACTGCATGGGCAGCTCCATACTGGTGTCTATAACTGGAACCAGCTCCATACTGGTGTCTATAACTGGAACAGACGGTAACTGCATGGGCAGCTCCATACTGGTGTCTATAACTGGAACAGGCAGTAACTGCATGGGCAGCTCTATATAACTAGTATCCCGGTTATGAGAGAACTGGAGTAGAAGCCTGGCAAATGCTAATCTTAGACAGGATACTGTGGCATGTAAACATCTTATCCCATTTACAGTTGTTTTTTCGCAGTCTGCACAGGCTCAGATTCACATATCATGGATGTTGTGTGGTGATGTTTCATCTGATTGTCAAACAAATGACTTCAAAAAGTAGGCTACCTGTGCAGTTCCATCCACCATAATAATTATATTTATTTTGCTGATACTGGACCTTATAGCCTACTCGCTGCTTTCACCCCTAATTTAGACAGGTTTCTGCTTAGAATTTCCGACATTTGGTAGGCTATATTAAAATCTCCAACATTTGGTAGGCTATATTATAATTTCCGACATTTGGTAGGCTATATTAAAATATCCGACATTTGGTAGGCCATATAAAAAAAAGACATTTGGTAAGCAATATTATAATTTGGTAGGCCATTTGTTTGTCAACTATACATGCAGCTTCTCTTCTGTCATAACTTGTTGCCCCAGAAGAATAAATAAAGTAGTGCTCACCAGAATAATGTCTTACGTCGATGGAATGTATGCATTAGTAATCTAGTTAACACCTGTAAAGTTGTCTGTTTCGTTTAGGGATCAGGGAGAAAACGCAATAACTCCAAAACAGTGGAAAGATTGGTCCTGTGCAAAATGTCCAAATGTCATCAGTTTGACTGGTTTTAAGGAAATGAAAAGATGAGAAAACAATTAAATGCATTTCTGATAAGACTTCAGTTGGTCTTGGGTGCATATTTTGTGCGGTTGAAATACTGTCTGCATGCATAATTGTCAAAGATAACGTTTTACAGTGCATTCCCATTTTGTCAAGGGATGCTGAAAGAAAAAATCATATTTCTCCACTCCTGTTCCAGAGACAAAATTAACATTAGCAAGAAATGCATAATTTTGCAGGAGTTAATATTATATTATGCTACATGTGAGAGGTTATAGGCCTACACTCAGTGTCCATATTTCAGTTACTATTCCATTTGAATTTGAATTTTGAATTTTGTTACGTTACAGCCTTATTCTAAAATGGATTAAATAAATAAAAATCCTCAGCAATCTACACACAATACCCCATAATGGCAAAGCGAAAACAGGTTTTTAGAAATGTTTGCTAATTTATTACAAATAAAAAAACATACCTTATTTACATAAGTATTCAGACCCTTTGCTATGAGACTCGAAATTGAGCTCAGGTGCATCCTCTTTCCATTGATCATCCTTGAGATGTTTCTACAACTTGATTGGAGTCCACCTGTGGTAAATTCAATTGATTGGACATGATTTGGAAAGGCACACACCTGTCTATATAAGGTCCCACAGTTGACAGTGCATGTCAGAGCAAAAACCAAGCCATGAGGTCGAAGGAATTGTCCGTAGAGCTCCAAGACAGGATTATGTCGAGGCACAGATCTGGGGAAGGGTACCAAAACATTTCTGAATAATTGAAGGTCCCCAAGAACACAGTGGCCTCCATCATTCTTAAATGGAAGAAGTTTGAAACCACCAAGACTCTTCCTAGAGCTGGCCGCCCGGCCAAACTGAGCAATCGGGGGAGAAGGGCCTTGGTGACCAAGAACCCGATGGTCACTCTGACAGCGCTCTAGAGTTCCTCTGTGGAGATGGGAGAACCTTACAGAAGGACAACCATCTCTTCAGCACTCCACTAGTCAGGCCTTTATGGTAGAGTGGCCAGAGAGAAGCCACTCCTCAGTAAAAGGCACATGACAGCCTGCTTGGAGTTTGCCAAAAGGCACCTAAAGACTCTCAGACCATGAGAAACAAGATTCTCTGGTCTGATGAAACCAAGATTGAACTCTTTGGCCTGAATGCCAAGCATCACGTCTGGAGGAAACCTGGCACCATCCCTACGGTGAAGCATGGTGGTGGCAGCATCATGCTGTGGGGGTGTTTTTCAGCTGCAGGGACTGGGAGACTAGTCAGGATCGAGGGAAAGATAAACAGAGCAAAGTACAGAGAGATCCTTGATGGAAACCTGCTACAGAGCACGCAGGATCTCAGACTGGGGCGAAGGTTCACCTTCCAACAGGACAACGACTCAAAGCACACAGCCAAGACAACGCAGGAGTGGCTCCGGGAAAAGTCTCTGAATGTCCTTGAGTGGCCAGAGCCCAGACTTGAACCCGATCGAACATCTCTGGAGAGAACTGAAAATAGATGTGCAGCAACGCTCCCCATCCAACCTGACAGAGCTTGAGAGGATCTGCAGAGAAGAATGGGAGAAACTCCCCAAATACAGATGTGCCAAGCTTGTAGCGTCATACCCAGGAAGACTCAAGGCTGTAATCGCTGCCAAAGGTGCTTCAACAAAGTACAGAGTAAATGGTATGAATACTTAAGTAAATGTGATATTTCAGTTTTTTATTTTTAATAAATTGGCAAACATTTCTAAAAACCTGTTTTTGCTTTGTCATTATGGGGTATTGTGTGTAGAATGAGGGGAAACAACGATTTAATCAATTTTAGAATAAGGTTGTAACCTTACAAAATGTGGAAAAATTGAAAGGGTCGGAATACTTTCCGAAGGCACTGTAGCTATGTATGTGGGAATATGACTGACTGTATAATGACTGGACCGTTTGCATAGCCTGTTTCTCTGAATCACAGTCTCTTTCTTTCTGTGGCTTTGAGTGTGTGTCTCGCTCTCGCTCTGTTAATCCCCCTTTCAGACCTGTTTGTTTCACCTGGTTGTCTGGTACTACATGATGACAAAACTCCACCCCTGTTTAATGATTGCTTTGGTTCCTTCCTCCCCTCTCTGTCTGCACTCCCCTATCTGACCAAGACTGTTCCATTATCACTGTTTAGGGGCATTTGAACTCTCAAGGGCTTTATTTTTAATTGGTCAGACCCTTAAGCAGTTAAATGCAGTTTAGGAGCACTGGGTCTTAGTGTCTAATTAAAGGGTTTGAGTCTGTGTCTGAAGTGGTACCCTATTCCTTTTGCCCTTGTCGAAAGGAGTGCACTAAACAGGGAATAGGATGCCATTTCAGATGCATCTTAGTGTCTAATGACAGGGTTGGAGTCACAGTTGATCTGTATTTGAGGTCTCTGTCCTGCTGTCAGTGTCCCCACCCCACCCAGCTATTGTACTGTGGCAGTATGACTGTCTCCTCTGGACAACAATGGCATTCTACTCACACTCACACACGATGAACACACACGCTGCTGTACGCATACACACACACACACACACACGATGAACACACATGCTGCTGTACGCATACACACACACACACGATGAACACACACGCTGCTGTACGCATACACACACACACACACACGATGAACACACACGCTGCTGTACGCATACACACTCACACACAATGAACACACGCTGCTGTACGCATACACACACACACACGATGAACACACACGCTGCTGTACGCATACACACACACACACGATGAACACACACACTGCTGTACGCATACACACACACACACACGTTCGCACATGGAGTGACTCGTCCCAAACAATACTCGCATATCCTGTACTTATACACCTGCTGTAAGCGCACACACACACACACACATACACACACACACACACAGTAGTTATACACTCACACACAATCACATTGACTTTTCCTGACTACCCTACAGTAGAACTCGAACTGTTATCGATTCACCTCCACCATCTCTTCACATGCATGTTGGCTTGATCAACATGGACTCATCTCATCATAGCTTAGGACTGTAACACCAGCTAACATGGTGCAGATCAGGGTTCCCCAACTGGCGGGCCCGTGGGTGATTTCATTTGGCCCCCCAAAGTTTTCAGAGCAAAATAAAAATAAAACGCTATTTTTTAGTTTTTATTGTTAGACATAAAAGACTAAAAACACCAGCATATCAGCTCCAAGTGATTTTTTTGTTTTGGAAATTTGTTCCGAAGTATTCCCACACATAACAGAGAGATGTAGGTGATCGTATACAAATTCAAGCAAGGTTTGAAATTATTATGTTTTAGTCAAATATTATATCTGTTTGGGCTTCTTGTGGTCAATTTGCAGTCTCCAAATGATTTATAATTATGTCCATCCACTCAAGAAGAAATCGGCCCGCGGCTAAATCTAGTTTATGATCCCAGGTGTAGAAGTCAGAGAGACTGGATCTTAGGGGCCTTTCTGAGCTGTGGTGTTCTACATTTTACATTTTACATTTTAGTCATTTAGCAGACACTCTTATCCAGAGCGACTTACAGTTAGTGAGTGCATACATTTTTTTTTTTTCCTACTGTTATAGAAAACCCTTAGACTATGCAATTTCTATGGAGACAGCTGGCTGGACACTTACAGCCTTGGAATGCACCCTCTCATACCCAAACGATGTCAGAACTTGGGGTAGAAGAGTTGGCCGAAGTGTGTATGTGTGTGACAGATCTCAGCTAAATCACAGATGAATACTCCGACAGGCTTGTTATGGTGTGGTAACAGACAGTAGATCCTTTTCAGTGTGTTGCGATGACATCCACCTGTCTCTATTTGGGTGTAGTCAAACTCACGAGTGTCAGGCCTACACGTCACCACCTCCTGGCGACTGTTGGATCAGTATAAAATACATCCTCTGATTTGACAGTTTGTCCCAGAGGACACTCTGCTTACTATCTGCCCCAGCATCTGATTTCAGATGTCGCTGTCCCCACCTGAACACCCAACATAAATTATTTGTTTTCATTTCTATTTTGAGATCTCAAATTCATACGTTTCCAGATGAACATCTGGTTAGCTGGTTTAGAGAAGATGATGAACATCTGGTTAGCTGGTTTAGAGAAGATGGATGAACATCTGGTTAGCTGGTTTAGAGAAGATGATGAACATCTGGTTAGCTGGTTTAGAGAAGATGATGAACATCTGGTTAGCTGGTTTAGAGAAGATGATGAACATCTGGTTAGCTGGTTTAGAGAAGTGTTTAGAGCAAGGGCCATCGAGGCTCTTTTGTTTGAACATGAACTTTTGTGAACTCAACATAGAGGGAGCAACAGTTTGAGCAAAGCTCTCATGTGTCACGCTCATATCTGTCCCCCGGAAAGAGGGGGGATCCCCTCAACCGAGCCTCTGTGTCACCCGAATATCTGTCACACTAGTCCTCAGGGGCCATAAAGTTTAATAGCCATGGGAACATCCGTCCTTTCTCCTAGTGACAAGTGCCTCTCCCCCAGAGCAGTGGAACACGTCCAATAGAGTGTTAGAACAAACTTCTTCCTAAAAAGGGCTAATTTTGAAAAGCCGTCTCCGCAGAGTGAATTGCATGTACATTTTCTAAGTCTTGTACCGGGAGAGAATAACTTTCTGGAAGAACGCACGGTCAGTAATCTCCCTCTCAGAGATTTCATCATCTGAGTTGCCGAGGAGGAATGTGTTCTCTTCAGTTCGGCGGCCATTGTTGGGGGTTTCTCTATAAATAACCTCATGTCAGCTAGCCATGCAAGCAGTCGGGCTTTCAGGCAGGCAGGAGAACAGTTATTAGTGGGGCACTACGTCTGGAAAGGCTGGGGCAGAAGCCTTGACACAACTTGTACTGAACAAAAGAACACACAGGAACTCTGCCAATCTGTAGCCTTTCGTAGCTTGCAAAGAGCGATATTGATAACCTGATACCTCTGTAGACGGTAATGTTATGACTTGCACAGAGTGAAAGATCTTTCATAGTGTCTTATAAACAGGGGCTGATGGTGAGTAACAATTTGATATCATAAATGAAACGGTGAAACACCACTCGGCTCTTTCAAGAGTTTTGGAAGAAGAGTCTGATGCACAAAATAAAAAACACACCATTGCCTGTGTAACGTAATTTGTGATTTTGGCAGCAGTTGATTGCAACATATTACAAACTGTAACATAGCTCAGTTTAGTCTTAGAAGGAAAGGTTGGAAGCACACTGATAATGAAAAGGCTACTTGAACAGACAGACACACAGACTAGTGTCGTTAACTTATACAGTACTTTTCTCACAAACACTGACATCATACAAGGTATTCGTGTTAACACCTGGGCAATTCCATTCAAAATAAGCAAGATGGCCTGTCAAAGATTAAACTGATGAGTAATAATGGAAAAATGTCCTCATATAGATACTCATGCCATGTGACTAGGGGTGTGCTGCCACAGATATCAGAGTTGTTTTGATAACGTCATTGGTGAGATACTGCATATGGCAGGACACTGAACAACTGTATCATCTACTGTAGTCTCACACCCAAGAATCCCAAAGTATGTTGAGTTGGAAGGGATATGTTGCTGGTGGAGCATCTCAGGTGACCATCTTGGACCCCCAGATAACCTCCTTGGACCATCTGGGGAAGTGTTCCAGAACTTTCTTGGACTTCCAGATGAGGTTTTTGGAACATTTGGGGGTGTATCCAGATGACCTTCTTGGACCCACCAGATAGCTTTTTGGACCCTTATTAGGGGTCTCCCAGGGTTAGGGTTAGGGGTTTGGGTTGGCATTCCAGTCAATCACATCCCTTTAGTCACACCCCTGATAAGTTTCACACTTCTAAATGGAAGCTGCTGTACATGTCTCCCTCTGTCTCCCATATCCTATATCCCAATCAAAACACAGGGGTGTGATCAGACACATGTTCAGCGACGAGCTAAGAGCTTACCGAGGCTCTGACTTACGATGTCGAGGGGGAAAAAAACAATTGAATCAATTTTAGAATAAGGTGAAGGGGTCTGAATACTTTCCGAATGCACTGTAAACCAAACAGTGTCTGACCTAAACTATACAAGTAATTAAAAAATGCTACTCAGTTTGCTGCACTCACAAAACAAGTATTGGCCAGCAAGGCTCTTGATCCAGGAGGGGATTCTCTGCTGTTACCAAGCCAATGCTTGGTTTTGGAAGAAGCTAACCACTTAGCTATCTAACTAGCTACTAAATTAGCAAACCAAATGCACAACTGCAGAGCATTTAGAACATTTTAGAAAGTTAACTTAATAGTTCTAAGATATCTACCTGGCAAACATTTAGTTGTGAATTCCATACTATAATTAGATCACCTGGCACATGCTGCACACCAGTGAGTGACTCTCAAGGCTCCAGTCTCTCGTAGTTGTGTGCTTGTAAACAAAAATCACGTGACTGGGGACTACCGGTAAGATTCATAAGGTATTTACTTAAAAAGTAGCAAAAAATATTCAAATGTATTAAACGGTATATATTGACGGTATAGAAAAATCCTGTGGCTTTTCCCAAATATCTTGATATACGGTATACCGCCCAAGCCGTGTGTGTGTGTCTGTGTCTGTGTCTGTCTGTGTGTTGTAACAGTTGCACTGCAAACAGGGGTGGAGGGGGGGACATCGACCTCAGTGTTTGTGTAATTGAACACAGGTTCTTGAGGCCACTACAGCATCCTTTGTAAACACTGTTTGTTGATGTTGGGGAGTGACTGACCGAGTGCACTCCAGTCCCACTTTTCTGCTGAGACGAGGGAATGGTATGTGCGTGTGTGTGGGGGCGTGCATGAGTGTGTGTTTATTTGTTTGAAGTGCAGAGGAGGACTGTTTATTACAAGTGTGTGTTTGAGAGAAATTAAAAAGTGGGATGGGGTGGGAGTCCTCTTTCCACAGACCACTGTTTGGGTGTTTTATGTAAACAGTAATTGGTCACTAATTAGAAACCTGCTCCATTCTTCCCTCTCCCCTCGGTCTGTGAATGAGTGGCCGTCGAATGGGGCATTATGGGTAGGCCCTTTAATTAATGGCTACTCCACCTCTCTCTCTCTCCTTTCTTTCTTTCTTTCTTTTTTTCTTTCTTTCTTTCTCTCCCTCCGTTTGTGGCTTATCATTAGTCACATTCCATCAGTTCTCAGGGAGCACTGAAGCTTGCAAGCACTGGTTTGTGGTAACGTCTCTGGGTCTCTCTCTCGCTTGCGCTCTCTCGCTCTCCCCTATCGGTTGGGGAAATGATTTGGGTTTGAATGAGATGGTGGTTGTGTGTGGGAGTCAACTCCATTAAACAGATGATGGCCTCCCAGGAATGCTCCATAGTCGCCTGGTCACTTAGCTTGGCCCAGACCAGTGGACTTCCTCCTGTCCTGGTTAATGGACCCTGTCTGGACCTATTAGGGGTGATGTCTCCTGGACCTTATTTCTCGATTGGCCTAATGCCTGAAAACCCAGTCATTATCCATGGCGACCTTTCCGTATCCAAGGGCCATACAACCAATGAGAGAATGGCAAATTGAAAACCCATAGAGGCTATTGAGGCTACAGCTCACAAACACAAATAAGCATATACATAGGCAATAGCTCACCACTAAACACATTTAGGCCTATAGATGTAGGCTCTACACAGACAGGCTTGGTCTGCAGCTTTACTTTGGCGATAGGCTTAGATACTGTTTACTGTTCAGTCTGCACAGCTTGACCATAGCAATCTAGTGCAGTACCTTCAGTGTCCATTCAGCAGAGAGACAGAGGGCAAAGGAAAGGAATACTCCGTTACACTGAGGTGAAAGAAACATTACAGAAAACCAATTGCAAGCACACATTTCCTCCCCTCTCTCCTTTCACACAGTGATACCTAACCCGCCAGCTAAAGCGACAAAAAAACGACTTCCCCTGGAGGCGAAATCAGATTTTGAGATCTGACTACGAGAATAGAATCACCACTCCATTTCAACTATTCCCGTATATAAAAAAAATTATTGGAATTAAGTTTAGCCTGATTGGATTATTGCTTCAGGAAGAGGAAGTAATTTCCAAGTCAAACAGGACGAAGCAGACTGAGAAGCCAGTGTACTGTACTTTAGGGTTGCTTTATTTCCCAAAATAGGTTGAGGGAAGGGAGTGGGGAAAAAAAGATTGGCCACAGACGCTGAACCGACCCGACTGTTGCTCTTGGACAGTGAACACTCAGGCCTGCAAGTTTTTTGCGATCACCCAAAGTGACAACCACGTAACCGTGCCGTGCCAAATTCACCGTGACCCGCGACGGTATTACATGCGACCCCCAGATTCCGGTGGTCGCGGAAGAAATGGGAGAAACACAGTGTTTGTTGCTGTAGTCTGTCACAGAGTTAACATGCCTGTCATTCCTGACGGGGCTGCGCTAGGCTCCGGCGTCGTAGCGTTCTCAGGGTTAGCGTTCCTTCTAGCGAGGCAGAGTTAGTACAGGGTAGAGGTTTCCAGAAGAGTCACACCCACAAACAAACCTGGACTCAAATACCATATGAAATCTTTCGAATACTTTTAGCATTTGCTTTAGCCTGCCTGGAGCGCCAGGTGGGCGGGGTTTGCACTTTTACCACTACTCTATTGGTTCCATTATTGTTCTTGTTGTTCTTTCGCCAGGTCAAAGGGGAGAGTCTGTATTTCGGCTGGTGTTTGTCAGTGTCTCTTATCTTCCTTCCGAATCCCGACTCAATGTTTGGATTGCATGTTTTGAATGTTCTGGTAATTTTCACTGACTAAGGCATCAATCAAAGAGCGACTTTGCCTCTGGTGCCGTCAATTGATAAAACTTTTCATAAAACGTTTTCATAATACAAAAAAATAAACATTTGGAGAGGAAGTGCAAAATTATGGCTTGAGATGTAATTCATGTCAGGTTAAAAAACAGATAAAAAAACATAAATTATTATACTTGAGTAAAGTTTTTTTCTCTCTCTTTCTTTCCTAGTTTGGCCCCTTGCCAAGCCTTTACCCTCTTTCCCAGTTAACACCTTCACCCCTCCTCACACAGAGGGCTCTCTACATGCCCCAATGGGGTGAGGAATGAGGTGTGTGTCTGTGGTTAAGACTGGTCTGTTGCTCGGGGTGAATAGGTGTCTCTTTTAGTGTGTCTCTCTCTCTCCCTCCCTCTCTCAGTACAGAGGGAGAGACAGAGAGAGAGATCCGTCTGAACTGGCACTGGAAAATCTCACTTCCGTGCCAGTGACTAGAGCAGGGGTGTCAAACTCATTTTGCCCCAACGAGGTCCGGTTGGCCACACTGAAAATGTATATTTCTTTGCAGTGAAAATTAGGCCAAATAGTCCTCTATCCATCGTTTTTTGATTTTTTTTAATGCTCCCTGACTGTCTAGCTTTCATTTTGGTGATTATTAGCGAGTTGGACACAGTCAAGATTTGGTTTAAGTATATTTAGTTCGTCCCCCCCAAATGTTTTATTAAAAAAATATACACTGCTCAGAAAAAATAAAGGGAACACTTAAACAACACATCCTAGATCTGAATAAATGAAATAATCTTATTAAATACTTTTTTCTTTACATAGTTGAATGTGCTGACAACAAAATCACAAAAAAATTATCAATGGAAATCAAATGTATCAACCCATGGAGGTCTGGATTTGGAGTCACCCTCAAAATTAAAGTGGAAAACCACACTACAGGCTGATCCAACTTTGATGTAATGTCCTTAAAACAAGTCAAAATGAGGCTCAGTAGTGTGTGTGGCCTCCACGTGCCTGTATGACCTCCCTACAACGCCTGGGCATGCTCCTGATGAGGTGGCGGATGGTCTCCTGAGGGATCTCCTCCCAGACCTGGACTAAAGCATCCGCCAACTCCTGGACAGTCTGTGGTGCAACGTGGCGTTGGTGGATGGAGCGAGACATGATGTCCCAGATGTGCTCAATTGGATTCAGGTCTGGGGAACGGGCGGGCCAGTCCATAGCATCAATGCCTTCCTCTTGCAGGAACTGCTGAGACACTCCAGCCACATGAGATCTAGCATTGTCTTGCATTAGGATGAACCCAGGGTCAACCGCACCAGCATATGGTCTCACAAGGGGTCTGAGGATCTCATCTCGGTACCTAATGGCAGTCAGGCTACCTCTGGCGAGCACATGGAGGGCTGTGCGGCCCCCCAAAGAAATGCCACCCCACACCATGACTGACCCACCGCCAAACCGGTCATGCTGGAGGATGTTGCAGGCAGCAGAACGTTCTCCACGGCGTCTCCAGACTCTGTCACGTCTGTCACATGTGCTCAGTGTGAACCTGCTTTCATCTGTGAAGAGCACAGGGCGCCAGTGGCGAATTTGCCAATCTTGGTGTTCTCTGGCAAATGCCAAACGTCCTGCACGGTGTTGGGCTGTAAGCACAACCCCCACCTGTGGACGTCGGGCCCTCATACCACCCTCATGGAGTCTGTTTCTGACCGTTTGAGCAGACATGCACATTTGTGGCCTGCTTGAGGTCATTTTGCAGGGCTCTGGCAGTGCTCCTCCTGCTCCTCCTTGCACAAAGGCGGAGGTAGCGGTCCTGCTGCTGGGTTGTTGCCCTCCTACGGCCTCCTCCACGTCTCCTGATGTACTGGCCTGTCTCCTGGTAGCGCCTCCATGCTCTGGACACTACGCTGACAGACACAGCAAACCTTCTTGCCACAGCTCGCATTGATGTGCCATCCTGGATGAGCTGCACTACCTGAGCCACTTGTGTGGGTTGTAGACTCCGTCTCATGCTACCACTAGAGTGAAAGCACCGCCAGCATTCAAAAGGGACCAAAACATTAGCCAGGAAGCATAGGAACTGAGAAGTAGTCTGTGGTCACCACCTGCAGAACCACTTCTTTATTGGGGGTGTCTTGCTAATTGCCTATAATTTCCACCTGTTGTCTATTTCATTAGCATGTCAATCAGTGTTGCTTCCTAAGTGGACAGTTTGATTTCACAGAAGTGTGATTGAATTGGAGTTACATTGTGTTGTTTAAGTGTTCCCTTTATTTTTTTGAGCAGTGTATATATATATATATATATATATATATATAATGTTTTACTGAAACCACCGCAGGCCGGATTGGACCCCCTCCGGCCCGCGGGCTGCATGTTTAACACCCCTGGACGAGCGAGAAAGGGGGAGGGGGGAGATAATGCAGGTGGAGGCAGAGAGAAAGAAGCGCGGAGGGAAAATTGGTAGCGGAAGAAGTGGAGAGGGAGAAGAAGAGTGTCCCAAATGGCGCCCTATTCCCTATATAGTGCACTACTTTTGACCAGTGCCTTATGGTCAAAAGTAGTGCACTAAATGGGGAATAGGTTACCATTTAAACGCAGACTCAGTCTGTTGGTGCCAGGAATGACTGTGGTAAAGGTGTCCAGGGGTGTTAGTGATTGTGCTCAAGTGAAGTGTTTTTGCCTGGTAGCCTAGCAATGGGGATGGCTTGGAACAGTGAGTGTGCTGAAAGTGAGTGTACTGAAAGCTCTCTGTGGGTGACACTACTTGACCTGGCTTTTGCTAAGAAGGGCTTCCCAGGCAAGTGAAAACGATGTTGTTGGGCGAAGGCAGGTCTGACTTGAATTTCAATGGGAATGCGTTCCAATGATCTCCATTTAGTCAAACAGACTATCAAGACAACACACAGTGCACAAATATAGTCTTGTTATAGAGGTGGTTTGGTGATGAGTAACCTTACCTGAGACATGAGATTTACCCAAGACATGCCTAGGCTTTAGGAACATTCATTTGGGTAAAGCGCCGGAGACTAACCCCTGTTGGTCACATGTGTAACTGCTGGAGCAGGATTAAATGACTTCTTATTTCTGCATTACATTTGTGTTTGCATTAGGAAGGGATTTGTTCAATAAGAAACATGCTAACTCTACTGTTGGGGTAACACTTGTTGATGCTAACACTTGTTGCTAACACTTGAGGTGTTTAGGCAATGCAAAGTATACTATGCAGTGGGTGTTTTTTTATTTTTTATTAGGGGGCAAAAAGCCTTGATTTTACTGCGGCAATTCAGCTTTTTAGGATAATTTTTTAACAATTTGTCATGAAAATGCGCTGATGGAGGAAAACATTTGACGTGTGGCTTGATTGTACCATTTTATGCGGTAAAAGTGCGTGATTGGTTTCTAATTGCACTTGAACTGGTGTTCCTTGGTTTACAGAGATATTAACCATTTGTCTCTCTTTGTCTTGCAGATTGGAGTCGTAGGGGAGGTGTTTTTAACCAAACCAAGCTGCTGGGAGGTCAAGGGGTGACATGCCTCTGTAACACATCTTTGGAAACAAATGGTGAGAGAAAGTTCTCAAATTAATTAATCTAATCTAGGTAAGAGCTGTAGTTTATCAGTATGTTTGGGGGTCTGGTTTTGTACATAAATGTATAATTTACCATTAGTGACTTGAAGTTAAATGATGTGAATATTCATGTTTCTCATAACTATATACAGTATGTTATCTATCTAGGTTGTGAAGTGTGTGTGTGAATCCCTCGCTTTCTCTCCTGGGTTGCCAGATTGGTTGCCATGCCTCCGGGGATGGCGCAACGTGGTTTCTCTGTCCCGGTGGCGGTCCCAGTCCCAGTACTGTTGGTGCTGCTGCTAGCTGCCGAAATGGCCCTCCTATGGCCTGGCCTGGGCCTCCTCCCCCTACCCTACCTTCACCCGCAACGACACCCTCTTTGAGCACATGGCCCTGCACCCGGACCCCACGGTGGGACGCGTCTACGTGGGGGCGCAGGACCGCCTTTTCCAGCTGGACCGCCACCTGACCGCCGAGCTCCAGGACGACACTGGACCCGTGACAGACAGCCGCGAGTGCCTGCCCCCCGTCACCGAGGGCAACTGCCCGCAGGCGCGGCCCACCAGCAACCACAACAAGCTCCTGCTGGTGGACCCCTACTCCATGGAACTGATCACATGCGGCAGCGTCAACCAGGGCATCTGCCAGAAGCGGAGTTTAGACTCTGTGGGTACAGTGCTGTTCTCGGCCGAGCGGCCCGTGGACACGCAGTACGTGGCGGCCAACCACCCCAACGTAAGCACGGTGGGCCTGGTGGTGCGCTCCCGCCCCGACCGCCAGCCTGTGCTCTTTGTGGGCCGCGGCTACACCAGCAGCCACCCACCTATCTCCACGCGCAACCTGGCCCAGGAGCCCGTCTTTTCCTACGAAGAAACGGCGAAGCTAGCGGTGGCAGGCCGCCTCTCGGAGTACGACCACCACTTCTCTGCCTCCTTCGCCCACCGCCAGCACGTCTACTTCCTCTTCTACCGGCGTGACCTCAAGTCGCAGTCGCGCGAGTACCGCACCTACATGTCGCGCGTCTGCCTGGACGACCAGGCCTACTACTCGTACGTGGAAGTTCCTCTGGCCTGTCGCTCGGCGGCCGGGAAAAGCTACAACCTGCTCCAGGCTGTCCGCCTTGGTCTACCACCCAGGGGGAGTGGGGGCGAAGCTGGGCAAGCCGAGGTGCTCCTGGGGGTGTTTTCCACCCATCAGACCTCGTCCACACGGCCCAGTGAGGACTCGGCTCTTTGCATGTTTAACCTGGACGATCTGGACCAGAGGATCAACTCCACCAGGGACCTGTGCTACACGCAGTTCGGCCGTGCTGAGGGAGGGGAAGAGGCGGCCTACATCGAGTACGAAGTCAAGTCCAACTGTGCCAACCTGCCGTCGGTGAGTAGATTGACTTGCCAGGTCCTTATTTTATTCAGTCCTGGGTTCAAATAGTGTTTGAAATCTTTCTAAATATTTTAGCGTTTGCTTTAGCCTTTCTGGAGTGCCAGATGGACAGGGTTTGCCGTTTTGCAACTATTCAATTAGTTACAATCAAGCCTAGTTAAAGTATTGGAAATGATTTAGAATAGAATTTGAACCCAGGTCTGCTTGCCTTATTTTATAGTTTCTGTGGAAGCACTTTAGTTTACAGTCCTTTTATTGCTGGTATTTAGACTACCTAGTATGAGGAAGTCATGAGGCAACAATGGGTACTTTCCGGTGCTTGCTTCCAAAAATCTAACAATTTGTAACAATTTGGATGCCAAATAGTAAGCAGCCTGATCCTTGTTTTATCGTCTGCTTTATCTATTAGTACTGTTTAGCTGGTATGTACCAGATTATTATTTTTTGGGTGGAAATTACATGGCATGCAATTGATACGTTTTGGTACTTAAATCTAGTGGTAGAATTAGACTATTATTAAGTGATGATAATGTAACATCTATGCTGTGACCGTGTTTAAGTTACCAGGCAAATAGGGGACTGTAAAATAGAGTGGAACTGGGTTTATTCTACATGTACCAATAAAGATGATGTTGTTTCTTACCAAGTCAGAATGTCTTTAGGATTTACTGTAATTCTACTATTAGATTGGTTGCTTCCAGTGTCATTCAGTTTCTGCAACGTGACCTCCATGTTAGAAGTTCAATGAAATGTAATTTGATATTTTAGTACAGACTAATGTAATCCTCCTATTTGGGGAATTAAATTTGATTATTTTCATGTAATGCCCCTGTTTTGTCTGTGTTTTGACGTTTGTGACTGTGTGTGTGTGTGTGTGTGTGTGTGTACATTTGCATGCGACTGCTGCTCAGACTACAGTGGGTAGTCCCCGCTGAGCCACAGTGTATTTAATGATGCACCCCATAGAGGACACAGAAGAAGTGTTAACCTCTGACCCCTGAATGCTGTTTACCTCCGACAGGGTCGGGGGAACAGTAGTGTGGTGGGACTGTTTCCCAAATCGCACCCTATTCCCTATTTATTGCACTGTTTTTGACCAGACCTCTATGGGCCCTGGCCAAAAGTAGTGCACTACAAAGGGAATAGGATGCTATTTGGGACACACACAGGACAATTTAATAGGATTGTAAGGGGGGAATCGATTGGTGGCATTAGCCTTACTTAGTGGGAGGGACAGATTTAACCAGGACTGACAAGGATGGATAAAGTCACCCACCGCTGAGACCGGAACAAGGGAGATTGCGACAGGGAAGCAGACGGGACAGGGAAGGAGAGCGGGGGAGGAAGAGAGAGGAGATGGGGAGAGACTGGGTGTGTGTGTGTGTGAGAGAGAGGGAGGGATGAAGAGAGAGGAGATGGGGAGAGACTGTGAGTGTGAGGTGAGTGTGTGTGAGTGTGTGTGAGTGTGAGTGAGAGTGTGAGAAGAGAGAGAGAGAGAGAGAGATCGAGAGCGATGCGGCGAGAGCGCGTTAGAGAGCGCAGCTGAGAGCTCGAGAGATCTCGCGCCTCCTCGCTGCATGACAGCGCGTCGAGAGCCAGATCGAGTGGAGAGCCTCTAGGAAGGCTAGTGAGCGAGAGAGATGAACGCGAAGAGAGAGTATCCCTAGACCCCAGAGAGAAATGCTAGGCTAGCACTAGGTCCGTTAACATAAACAAAGTCTCTGTCACAAATAGTAACAATACACCAACACCACATCTACACAAGTACCTATCAACAGTGTTAGAGCCCAATGTTTATTACTTCAGCCCTATTGTCTTTTTGTTGCAGGAACTCATAAGCTGGTAATATTTGTCATAAGGAAATTCCGTGGATGTGCTTGGGAGAAAAACAGATTATTGTAGCTCTAGTAATGACTCGCTCTGTTCCCAAAAACAATTCCCCTAAAGTATGGAACAAAAAAAACACAGGTCTGCAGCCAAGTCATAGATCTCCCACTGCCAAAATGCACCCCCCCCCCCCTCCCCCCATAAAAAAATAGATTTCACTTTTCCTACTAGCATTGACTTTGCGGATAACTTCTTTGAGGAAAAATTTACTTACTACGATTTTGATATGTGGTTGTCTCACCTCGCTACAGTATCTTAAGATGAATGCACTAACTGTAATTCACTCAGAATAAGAGCATCTGCTAAATGTGTCGAAGTAAAAACGAGTTCCCAGTAAGCTATGAAACACTTTGGAACAGAGTTTGACAGATTCCTACGATAGTTTCCCCCCTCACCTCCAACTCCACAATGTCTTCAGATAGCCGTCTTTGTCTTCCTCACAATCAATAATACTAGAGAGTTAGTTGCCGAGAAGATGTTTTTTGCTAGTTTGCTACATTTGACTTGTCATTTATCCGATGCAGCTGTTTATACAGTTGAAGTCGAAAGTTTACATACACCTTAGCCAAATACATTTAAAGTCAGTTTTTCACAATTCCTGACATTTAATCCTAGTAAAAAATCCCTGTTTTAGGTCAGTTAGGATCAACACTTTATTTTAAGAATGTGAAATGTCTGAATAATAGTAGAGAGAATGATTTATTTCATATTTTATTTCTTTCATCACATTCCCAGTGGGTCAGAAGTTTACATACACTCAATTAGTATTTGGTAGCATTGCCTTTAAATTGTTTAACTTGGGTCAAACACTTTGGGTAGCCTTCCACAAGCTTCCCACAATAAGTTGGGTGAATGTTGGCCCATTCCTCCTGACAGAGCTGGTGTAACTGAGTCAGGTTTGTAGGCCTCGCACACGCTTTTTCAGTTCTGCTCACAAATGTTCTATAGGATTTAGGTCAGGGCTTTGTGATGGCCACTCCAATACCTTGACTTTGTTGTCCTTAAGCCATTTTGCCACAACTTTGGAAGTATGCTTGGGGTCATTGTCCATTTGGAAGACCCATTTGCGACCAAGCTTTAACTTCCTGACTGATGTCTTGAGATGTTGCTTCAATATATCCACATAATTTTTCTTCCTCATGATGCCATCTACTTTGTGAAGTGCACCAGTCCCTCCTGCAGCAAAGCACCCCCACAGCATGATGCTGCCACCCCCGTGCTTCATGGTTAGGATGGTGTTCTTCGGCTTGCAAGCCGTCCCCCTTTTTCCTCCAAACATAACAATGGTCATTATTGCCAAACAGTTCTATTTTTGTTTCATCAGACCAGAGGACATTTCTCCAAAAAGTACGATCTTTGTCCCCATGTGCAGTTGCAAACCGTAGTCTGGCCTTTTTAATGGCGGTTTTGGAGCAGTAGCTTCTTCCTTGCTGAGCGGCCTTTCAGGTTATGTCGATATAGGACTCGTTTTACTGTGGATATAGATACTGTTGTACCTGTTTCCTCCAGCATCTTCACAAGGTCCTTTGCTGTTGTTCAGGGATTGATTTGCACTTTTCGCACCAAAGTACGTTTATCTCTAGGAGACAGAACGCGTCTCCTTCCAAGGCGGTATGACGGCTGCGTGGTCCCATGGTGTTTATACATGCGTACTATTGTGTGTATAGATGAACGTGGTACCTTCAGGCGTTTGGAAATTGCTCCCAAGGATGAACCAGACTTGTGGAGGTCTACCATTTTTTTTCTGAGGTCTTGGCTGATTTCTTTTGATTTTCCCATGATGTCAAGCAAAGAGGCACTGAGTTTGAAGGTAGGCCTTGAAAGACAACCACAGCTACACCTCCAATTGACTCAAATGATGTCAATTAGCCTAAGAAGCTTCTAAAGCCATGACATCATTTTATGGAATTTTCCAAGCTGTTTAAAGGCACAGTCAACTTAGTGTATGTAAACTTCTGACCCACTGGAATTGTGATTAAGTGAAATAATCTGTCTGTAAACAATTGTTGGAAAAATTACTTGTGTCATGCACAAAGTAAACGTCCTAACCGACTTGCCAAAACTATAGTTTGTTAACAAGACATTCGTGGAGTGGTTGAAAAACAAGTTTTAATGACTCCAACCTAAGTGTATGTAAACTTCCGACTTCAACTGTATGTGTATTTTACCATAGTGGGGGTTTTTAAGAGCAAATCCATCATCTTGTAGACTGGTTGTTGTCTGAATGTAGCCCTATGTGGCAAACAATAATGCAGGCACTAAGGATGGGGGTATGAGCATGTGGCTCTGGGCAGATGACATGTAGTCATTGTTTGTGTGTGTCTGTAAGTTGTTGTTGTGTATGTTTGTAATAACCTTATTGGATCATTCTAAATGTTAGTGTTGTTAGAAGTTGAAAAATTGTACCTACTTTAATAAACTATGTCCATACATCTCTAAATTACATCAATTTGCAAATTCCTTCCCTCTTGAACTATAGAACACCCTGGATGCCTACCCATGTGGTTCAGACCACACCCCCAGTCCAATGGCCAGCCGGGTGGCAGTGGAAGCCGAGCCCATATTGGACAGCCCATCCGCCCGTCTCACCGCCGTGGCCGTCAGCGTGAGGGCGGGACATACCATCGCCTTCCTGGGGGATTCCAAGGGAAACCTGCATAAGGTAGAGACCATTGGGATGATAAAACTAATGGAGCGATTACAATGAGTGTACAAAACATTAAGGACACCTGCTCTTTCCATGAGATATACTGCACCTTTGAACGGGGTAAGGTAGTAGGTGCCAGGTGCACCGGTTTGTGTCAAGAACTGCAATGCTGCAGTGTTTTTCACGCTCAACAGTTTCCTGTGTGTATCAAGAATGGGCCACCACCCAAAGGACATCCAGCCAACTTGACACAACTGTGGGAAGCATTGGAGTCGACATGGGCCAGCAACACTGTGGAACACTTTCGACACCTTATAGAGCCCAGACAAATTGAAGATGTTCTGAGGGCAAAATGGGGTGCAACTCAATATTAGGAAGGTGACCTCAATGTGTTGTACACCTTCAAAACAGGACTTGGCTGGACATGTTCTATGCTGGTTGTTTCTGTGTCTTGTATACGGTACATTTCAGTGCATTCCATTGCATGAAGTGAGCCTTTGATATTTCCTGAATAACCTCAGCTCAGCCCCAACATAGACCTAGACAGATATTCACAGACTACTAGCCAGCCAGACACACAAGTGCGTACGAACACATGTACGCACACACGCCAAGAGATTAGAGAAGGCACCCTTCCATACTAGCGCAGACTGAAGTCAACACTCCAGAAATAATAGGAGCAAACTGGACCAGCTAACTAACTAATGCATCTGTCCTTAAGTGGTTCTGGGTGCGTTTGCTTTTCCCTGGACCTGCCAGATAACACTTGTACTGTTGTTATGAACAATGAGACCTCTTCTCTCTCCTCTTTTCTTTGGCTAATCTTTTTTTTTTGTTGACAGCTCGCTTTCTTTCCTGACTTCATTGATTTTTGTTGTCCTGTTTCGTAAGACGTTGTTGTATTCCTGTATTGTTTGGGACAAAGCCATGTAAACCACAACAGGGAAAGGCAGCATTGATCCACCATGGACCAGGGCACTGATAGAAGAGGGGCAGCATAGACTGACACTATTATTAATCATACACAATAGGAGGGATATTCCTACATCCACCCTGTACCGTCCTCCAATATAGACAACACCCTGTACCATCCTCAGATATAGACAACACCCTGTTCCGTCCTCTGATATAGACAACACCCTGTTCCGTCCTCTGATATAGACAACACCCTGTACCATCCTCAGATATAGACAACACCCTGTTCCGTCCTCTGATATAGACAACACCCTGTTCCGTCCTCTGATATAGACAACACCCTGTTCCGTCCTCTGATATAGAGAACAGGGAACGGGCATCACTATAGACACTCAACAGTCGCAACTGTCCAGTCCATTGGGTTGCCATGTTGGCTGGGGGGGGGGGGGGGGGGGGGGGTCATGTGGAGCAGTGTCTTTTGGGGTTCACGCAAGAGCCAGGGCACACACAAGCAAGAGAGATGGAATGTTGTGATGAGGGAGGGATGGATGGATAGAGAGGGGGATAGAGCGAGAGAGAGGGATGGATAGACTGGGGGGAGAGAAGGGGGATGACAGGGAGGGGGAGAGAAGAGGGGGATAACACACCTGTGGGTTAACATAACATGGCGGTAATACACATAGAGGGCTTGGGAATATATAAAAACAACCCACTTAAAAATATGGTCTTGAAATGCGTTAGTGCCAAGATTTGAGTTTATATCACCCAAGCATAGGAATTTGAGGGGGTGATGTGGTGGGGGGCTCATAGGGTACATCTCAGTAGTTTAAACTTGCTGCCTCTGTGAAAACCCATCCAGTCCGTTCGCCTATCACTGTCAGCGAAGGCAAGGAAGTATTTAGGCATAGCGAGTTCTTAGTAACAGCAAGTTCTCTCACACCCAGACTCTCACTCTGAATAGTGACTAACGCTAACAATTAGCACTTTGTTTCATTTTTGTCAATGGCTGCACAGCGGTTGTGACCAGGGCGGGGTGGGGTAGAGCAGGGAGGGAAGCACAGTGACACCCATTAACAGTATTTTTACACACTGACCACAGAACAACACCACTGGCCAATGTGGCCATTCCTCATGATGTCTGGCTAACTAGGACTCCATGACTCAGGGTTTTGTGTTGTGTGAGTCACATGCAGTGTGTGTACAGTGCACAGTCACCACTGACTGGCAACTAGATGGCAAAGACAGCAGAGTTCTAAATAGAAGGCCCTATTCTCTTTCCATAGACTACACATGCATGCATACACACTGCCGAATTGTCTGAATGTCACTGTCACCAGATGCTCTGTCACTCATTGTCACTACTGTAGTCCCAGACTATATACAGTATGCCTCTGGGACGTAGCATGTTACAGCACATGATCAGATCTGGGTTCAAATACTATTTCAGTTACTAAGTATTGTTAAGTTGTTGTTTTTTAAATGTATAAGTAGTTGAATATTGGGATGTATTTGGAAATACACTTAGAAAGTATTGGCATGTATTTGAAAATACTGAAATACATCGACGAGTGTAATACTCCCATGCATTTGAACCCTGGTCTGTTTGGTCCTAGGGGTATTTGAAATAATGTATTTGAAAATAGTTTAAAATAGTAAGCTACTATATTTTCTAATATTTTTAATAGAAGTAGTTGATTCGGCACCACATTATTAGAAAATAAAAATAATAGAAGTACAAATACCTAAATACACATGTATTTGAACCCAGGTCTGCACATGACTGACACCTGCTAGGTGAATTAGCAGTGAAATATGTATTTTTTTAAGCTCAACTATTACAGAGTTGGTATTGGGAAATTGATTGATTGTATTGGCCATCAATGCAATTTAATTGAAAGAGAATGAGGAATAGAACGTGTGTGTGTGTGCTCCACCCAGAGTTTCTGTTTGTGTTCTGTACAGTATGTGTGTGTTCAGACAGGGCCACTGACAGATGATGGGACTGCAAGGGCGAGATATGCACCAATAATTTGCCATGATGAGATAATCCTAGTCTATTGGATGGCAGGGGGTCAGAGTGGGTCATTCTCATGAAACTGACATTTGACCCAAAATTTCCTTGGTCATTTTTCACGAAATGTCTTCTTGGATCACTGAGATTAGGATCTATACTTATCTGTATCATAATTATTATTATGTTTTTTGTTCAGATATAATGCATTTTACCACAATTTCCACAAAATTCTCATTACCGTAACAGTCCAAAAAAGTAATATTTAAAGTTAAATTATAATACAATTAAATCTGACCTTTTATCAATTTTGAGATTTTTAGCCGTTTCGGTAATGAGAAGGCCAATTGGGGTAAAGGGGGTGTTTGACAATAAGAACCTCATTCTGAAGGCATAGTCAATTAACTAAACTTCTACTACTCCTCTAGATCATGTGTCATTACCGTAACACTTTTTCAAGTTCCTGTAAAAATTCATTTTTTAAGTAGTTGTATCTACCCATGATGCAGTGTTTCGCAAAGTCTGTCCTGCCCCCCCACCACCCCCGGGTGCACGTTTTGTTTTTTGCCCTAGCACTACACAGCTTATTCAAATAACCAACTCATCAAGCTTTGATCATTTGAATCAGCTGTGTTTCCTCCTCCAGATGGTTGCGTGCACAGAGAGAGAGAGAGAGAGAAGAGAGAGAGAGGGAGAGAGAGAGAAGAGAGAGAGAAGAGAGAGAGAGAGAGAGAGAGAGAGAGAGAGAGAGAGAGAGAGAGAGAGAGAGAGAGAGACAGAGAGAGACAGAGAGAGATGAGAGTGAACAACATCTAATTGCCACAAACTAATACTGTGTAGCCATGTTCCCAGTTGACCTTCTCAAGACAAACATTTAGATTGGCATTCCAAATCATCCAAACAGAACAGTGCATCTTTCTATGCTTTCAGAAGACTGATGATGTTTTACCATTTAAACTCTCCTCCAAACCATTGTGGCTCAAAATGCTTCAAATACCAACATAATTCAATTTAGCATGATTGTTATTCCTAATGGCTAAATTTAACTGACCATGCTATGCTATTTATCTCCCTGGATAGTGAATTATATAACATTTACATTACATTTTATATAACTAGGAGAATGTAGAGTGGGTATTCGGAAAACAAATTATACAAATGTTTATTATAAGGGATCATTTGTAGGTGTTGCAATCTAAACATTTAAAATAATACATTCAAGTAGAATTTCTGATATCTTTTTTACAAATATTATAATCTATAGATTCTATAATATTGTAGCGATCCTCGCTAATGGAGCCCCGTGTAGCTCAGTTGGTAGAGCATGGCGCTTGCAACGCCAGGGTTGTGGGTTCATTTCCCACGGGGGGCCAGTATGAAAAAGTATGAAAACGTATGCACTCACTAACTGTAAGTCACTCTGGATAAGAGCGTCTGCTAAATGACTAAAATGTAAATGGTCCAACGTTACAATTCCCTAAAGTGGGCTAACCCTATTGGAGCAATGTATGCATGTTTTCCTTTCATACGAGTGACCTAGGTTCTGTACCCCTCTATCTGTTTGCTATAATATAATGAAATGTACCTAATAGGTTTCTTAACCATTTTTATGTTTGTTTTCCAGGTGTTTCTGGGCCCTAAAGGTGAGGTGGAGGAGTACGCCGTCGTCTCCATCCAAGCCAACGCGGCCATCAGCTCTGACCTGCTCCTGGATCAGTCTGAGGAGCACCTTTTCATCATGACGTCCACCATGGTACAGTACACTAGCCTGGTCCCAGATCTGTTTGTTGGTGCTGTCCTGCCAACTCCTCTGCTCATTGGCAGTTTTACACATGAATCTCACTTCTGACACCAACAGTACACTACCAACACAACAACTTTTAATTTCTTCCCTTCACACAGGCACAGTGGTCAACAACTATGTGTCTCTGAAACAAGTCTCTTTTTTAGTTCATAGTAATCTCGTCCACGGCTCTATTGAGACGAGGTTCAGTTTATAGTAATGGCTCCATGCAAAGTCCTCATAGACTCTGCAACATTTTCACCACATTGCTTTATTCCTATCTAATCATTTTACCTATCAGGGAAGTTGCTACAGTTTTGGGCAATAGTTCTGTTTCCAAAATGTCTCTCCTTTGTTTCAGTGAAGAGCCGTCTCATTGTTCACTATGTGTTGCACATAATGACTGAATATTGCCTGTTATTCTTTTGTTGTGGTCACAGCTCCAGAAGAGGCCGGTGGCTGAGTGCCACGAACACCTGGACTGCCAGGCCTGTCTGTCAGCCCACGACCCCTACTGTGGATGGTGTGTCCTGGAGGGGAGGTAAGCCACTCATTCTGAGTAATCCAATGGATTAGCTAACTAATTACTTTTATTGTCAAGTCATATGTAATCAGTAACCAATTACATTTAAGTAATCCGCCCAACCCTAGTTCTGGTTAAAGGGTCAACATATCAAACTAGAGCCCAATCCTGGTTCTGGTTAAAGGGTCAACATATCAAACTAGATCCCAACCCTGGTTCTGGTTAAAGGGTCAACATATCAAACTAGAGCCCAACCCTGGTTCTGGTTAAAGGGTCAACATATCAAACTAGAGCCCAACCCTGGTTCTGGTTAAAGGGTCAACATATCAAACTAGAGCCCAACCCTGGTTCTGGTTAAAGGGTCAACATATCAAACTAGAGCCAGAGGTTTCCCTGGTCAGGTCAAGTGGACTAGGAAATCTCAGGGCCTTAGATATTACAGATGGGCACAACGCAGTCAGAGAAGGTATTTGTGGTACCTCTCATGCTGGCGTATGTGAGAAATGACGATTGTCCAATACAGTAGACAGTCGTAGGTATTGCTTATGTTTTAAGGCTAAAATAGGTAACTTTTTGGGCGACCTGACAAAATTCACATAGAAATGTGAGTTATAGATCGTTTTTTCTCATTAAAAGCAAGTCTAAGAAGCAGTAGATCTGTTCTATGTGCGCTATTTCTATGTGTCCCGTTTTAAAGTTTCGATTGTGCGTCTTTTACTTTAGTTTTCTTTTTGTACACCAGCTTCAAACAGCTGAAAATACAATTTTGTTGGTTATGGAAAATATATTTCACAGCGGTTTAGATGGTAGAATGATTCTCTACCCCAGGGGTTCCCAAACTGTTTTACTCAGGCCCCCCCTTTCAGCATTGGGGAACATTGCGTGTGCCATGTCTATTTCTATGGGCACAAGCACTGTTCATGACACAAACTGTTCACACCCCTCTTGTTGGTGGAGAGAACATTTTGCAGGTTTTAAGCTTATTTCCTGCAATTCTACACATTTTGTCATGTCTAATGTGTATTCATGTGATATTTGAGTGACTCGAACATTACTATAAAATCTATGGGCTAAATAATCTAGCTAAAAACGTTAGCTGACATAGGCTAGTTGATTTCTGACAAGTTATAAATGGCTCTCTAAGGTATGCAATGACTGACATGACAGGAGGAGTACTGAAATTGTACCTTTTACTATTACAACTTTCAAGAGTAAGTTGAAAGCCGGACTGAGTTCTAGGGGGCGCGCCCCACAGTTTGGGAAACACTGCTCTACACTATACTTGCTTGTTTTGTCACATAAACTGAAATTAGGCAAACTATTAGAATTTTTGCAACCAGGAAATGGCAGAACGATTTCTGCATAGTGCATCTTTAAGTGGGCAATCTTTTGAGTAGTAGCTACAGTAGCCAAACCCAGGCTTTTCTCCATACACTCACAACTAAGCACATAAGCAACATACTAGGAAGTCATCGGCCCAGCAACAACAACATAAATTGCTGGCAACATACTAGGAAGTCATCGGCCCAGGAACAACATACTAGGAAGTCATCAGACCAGCAACAACATACTAGGAAGTCATTGGCCCAGCAACAACATACTAGGAAGTCATTGGCCCAGCAACAACATCCTAGGAAGTCATTGGCCCAGCAACAACATACTAGGAAGTCATTGGCCCAGCAACAACATCCTAGGAAGTAATCGGCCCAGCAACAACATCCTAGGAAGTCATTGGCCCAGCAACAACATCCTAGGAAGTCATTGGCCCAGCAACAACATACTAGGAAGTCATTGGCCCAGCAACAACATACTAGGAAGTCATTGGCCCAGCAACAACATCCTAGGAAGTAATCGGCCCAGCAACAACATCCTAGGAAGTCATTGGCCCAGCAACAACATACTAGGAAGTCATTGGCCCAGCAACAACATACTAGGAAGTCATCGGCCCAGCAACAACATACTAGGAAGTCATTGGCCCAGCAACAATATACTAGGAAGTCATTGGCCCAGCAACAACATACTAGGAAGTCATCAGCCCAGCAACAACATACTAGGAAGTCATCGGCCCAGCAACAACATACTAGGAAGTCATTGGCCCAGCAACAACATACTAGGAAGTCATCAGACCAGCAACAACATCCTAGGAAGTCATTGGCCCAGCAACAACATCCTAGGAAGTCATTGGCCCAGCAACAACATCCTAGGAAGTCATTGGCCCAGCAACAACATACTAGGAAGTCATTGGCCCAGCAACAACATACTAGGAAGTCATCGGCCCAGCAACAACATACTAGGAAGTCATTGGCCCAGCAACAACATCCTAGGAAGTCATTGGCCCAGCAACAACATACTAGGAAGTCATCAGACCAGCAACAACATCCTAGGAAGTCATTGGCCCAGCAACAACATACTAGGAAGTCATTTGGCCCAGCAACAACATACTAGGAAGTCATTGGCCCAGCAACAACAACATAGAATGCTGGCACAGCTCCTTGTTCTGACCAGAGTTTTTGCCAAGTAATCTTAAAAGCTTCAGTTAGTTGTTTACTCAGCAGGATTACTACCATCTGTTCCTCTCTCTCCCTCAGTCTCCCTCATCCCCCTCGCATCTCCCTCTCCCTTTTTGTCCTGCACCTTGACCACCTGTCTCTCTCTCCCCTCTCTCTGTTATTTCTGTCCTCCTTCCACATTTTCCTATTTTCTTCTCCATTTCAAACCGATCAGGATGTCTCATTAAAAAAAGAAACAAAGTCAGTCCAATGTACATTTCTCTCATCACCCCTTTGGCCCTAATTCCCCTGTTGCTCTTCTCTTTCACCTTTCTCGTGTTTCCCTCTCTTCCTCCTCCTTTCTCGTGTTTCCCTCTTCCTCCTCCTTTCTCGTGTTTCCCTCTACCTCCTCATTTCTCGTGTTTCCCTCTCTTCCTCCTCCATTCTCGTGTTTCCCTCTTCCTCCTCCTTTCTCGTGTTTCCCTCTCTTCCTCCTCCTTTCTCCGTGTTTCCCTCTCTTTCCTCATTCTCGTGTTTCCTCTTTTCCTCCTCCTCTTTCGTGTTTCCCTCTCTTCCTCCTCCTTTCTCGTGTTTCTCTCTTCCTCCTCCTTTCTCGTGTTTCCTCTTCTCCTCCTTTCTCGTGTTTCCCTCTTTCCTCCTTTTCTCGTGTTTCCCTCTCTTCCTCCTCCTTTCTCGTGTTTCCCTCTCTTCCTCTCCTTTCTCTCCCGTGTTTCCCTCTCTTCTCCTCCTTTCTCTGTTTTCCCTCTCTTCCTCCTCCTTTCTCGTGTTTCCTCTCTCTTCCTCCTCCTTTCTCGCTGTTTCCTCCTCTCTTCCTACTCCTTTCTTGTCGTTTCCCTCTCTTTCCTACTCCTTTCTGTCTGTTCCCTCTCTTCTCCTCCTTTCTCGTGTTTCCCTCTTCCTCCTCCTTTCTCGTGTTTCCCTCTTCCTCCTCCTTTCTCGTGTTTCCCTCTCTTCCTCCTCCTTTCTCGTGTTTCCCTCTCTTCCTCCTCCTTTCTCGTGTTTCCCTCTCTTCCTCCTCCTTTCTCGTGTTTCCCTCTCTTCCTCCTCCTTTCTCGTGTTTCCCTCTCTTCTTCCTCCTTTCTCGTGTTTCCCTCTCTTCCTCCTCTACTCCTCCCATTCTACCGTTGAAAGTCACTGAGCTCTTCAGTAAGGCCATTCTACTGCCAATGTTTCCTATGGAGATTGCATGGCGTGTGCTCGATTTTATACACCTGTCAGCAACGGGTGTGGCTGAAATAGCCGAATCCACTAATTTGAAGGGGTGTCCACATACTTTTGTATATATAGTGAACGTAATGATGCATCTATTATGGTATGATATGATAATATATTGTATGTGTACATTATGATTTACACTCAGTGGCCAGTTTATTAGGTACAGATCTAGTACCGGGTCGGACCCCCCTTTGCCTCCAGAACAGCCTGAATTCTTTGGGCATAGAAACATTGCTAAATTGGTATCAAGGGACCTAACGTGAGCCAGGAAAACATTCCCCACACCATTACACCACTGCCTTTGACAGGCAGGATGGGGCCATGGACTCATGCTACTTCCGCCAAGTCCTGACTCTGCCATCAGCATGACGCCACAGGAACCGGGATTCGACGGACCAGGCGATGTGTTTCCACTCCTCAATTGTCCAGTGTTGGTGATCACGTGCCCACTGGAGCCGCTTCTTCTTGTTTTTAGCTGATAGGAATGGAGCCCGATGTGGTCAAAGACCGACTAGTTCTTTTGAAAGAAAATTTTATTTAACCTTTATTTAACTAGCCAAGTCAATTAAGAACAAATTCTTATTTACAATGACGGCCTACCCCGGCCCAATTGTGCGCCGCCCTATGGGACTCCCAATCACAGCCGGATTGTGATAAAGCCTGGAATCGAACCAGGGTCTGTAGTGACGCCTCTAGCACTGAGATGCAGTGCCTTAGACCGTTGCGCCACTCGGCAGCCATTTCCTCTGAGAAGCAGCTCTGCACCATTATTTGCCTGTTTGTGGCCCGCCTGTTAGCTTGCACGATTCTTGCCATTCTCCTTCGACCTCTTTCATCAACAAGCTTTTTTCGACCACAGGACTGCTGCTGACTGGATGTTTTTTGTTTGTCGCACCATTCTCTGTAAACCATAGACACTGTCGTGCGTGAAAAGCCCAGGAGGCCGGCGTGCCTGGCACTGACGATCATACCAAACTCAAAGTCAAACAGTATCTAGATGCCAGTCTGCCTGCTTTATATAGCAAGCCACAGCCACGTAACTCACTGTCTGTAGGAGCAAACCATTTTCGTGAATGGGGTGGTGTACCTAATAAACGGGCCACTGAGTGTATAATAATATGTTGGTATCTATAAAGTATAGTATGATAATAATATATTGTCTAGATGTGGTCAGCAGTAGTCTGAGCGATGGTAATGTTTATTTCAGTATGTGATATGATAATAATATATTGTTATCTATTGTATGTGTAGGTGTGGCTGGCAGGCTCAGTGTTCACGCGGGACCCAGGCAGGCCAG